GTGTTACAACTTAGTTCAAAACATGTTATGGTTGATGTTGATTTGAGTGATTGTTCTCTGCACTGTGTGGATGTGGGCAGATAGGCCAATGTTTCAGAGGTACAGTGCAGTCACACTTTATGCAAATTTGAAATAACGTTGAGTCCTCAAATATTGGGCAGTACATTTATTTCTACAAGAAAACTTGTCTTGAATTATGTAGTCTTCAGGACTGCATCCCTTGCATAAACCATGACTGCACTATACATGCTGCCAACATCCACACTGCACAGAGGCCCAACAGCAGAAATGTCAGCACCAAACAACTGTGGAAGCCTAAGACGTAGCATGGTTTATTTAAATATCCGTAAATGAAAGAAATAGTTTAGCTACTTAATGCAGGTTTTGATATTGGGTTTCTCTGACAGGAGATCGTTATTTATTACAAGATTAATAATGTTTATTATACATTATAACCGTCAACACAACAAATAGAGCAGGAATATCTTCAATTAAGACAACAGATATTGGTATATATCTTACTTCTTTAATGTAAGCATAAAGGGCTACGTGTTTCGACCTTGTAATTTAGATCATCAGGCACCTGTCTATGATCTATAACTCAAGTGATTAAAGTTAAGGGTCATGATATGGATCCATATTTATGCGAGTGTTGTCTGTTGTTGCAAGCGAATATATGTTTACAAATTGAGCATACATCTATAGTCTAATATTCTAATGAAATTCATTACTAATAGTTAACGATTTAAAGGACATAAAGATATACTTGTTGTGTTGTTGACCGTTATAACATATGTTAAATATTATATGCACAACAAGATGCAATCTATAATGTTAATAATAATAATCTAAAAGTTGGTTCTGCAATTCTTCCCTGCCTTTCCTAGTCTTTTTCATCACTATGAACATACAAATTCCACCTGTTTATTACAGCATTGCATTATGAAGTAATGTAGCACAGGTTATAGAAGATGTTTCAGAATACAGTTAGCACTTATATTAGGAAGAAAATTTGTTCTTAGTATGGTCCTGTACTTTAATGGTTTCCTTGTATGTAATGTGGGAATTTTAGAAACTAATATTGCTTCTAGACCTTCTAATTACCACAGTTTTCCCAATAATTAACGTTTTTAACTTTGTATTGCAACTATCTCTGTGATATATGTTACAAATATTACATGCATCATGCATGAAAATGTTATAATTTGAATGAACCATCTATTGAAATGTTACCCAGCGCAGGTTGATGTTCTATGGTGAGGAAAACTGAAAGTATTCTGGTTGAGTGCAGCAATTTTCTCTTGTCAGAGTGCAGTTTCTTTTCAGTACAAATGGGCCTTCCTGTCATAGACAAATCTTAATACTCACATTTCAGTAGTGGTTTTGAGCCAGTGAGTTGAGTACTGTTTCAGTTTAGATTATGTCATACTATATTACAAAGTGTGTGTGTGTGAGATCAAAGTTCTCGTGGCAGTAGCCTAGAAAAATGTTATCATCTGAGATGTGACACCATTTAGTTTGGTAGAAGTTTACTGGCATTTTGGAAAAATGTACTGGATCAATCTTCAGGGACAAGGAGCTGATGCCAAGCAGGCAACAAACAGAGCTTTTTGTTCACTTGGCTTACTCTTCAACCCTGAAGATAGGGCCATACATTCCTCTGAAACATAGGTAACCATCCACACGACTAAATGGCATCACATCTCATAGGGTGTGCTGTTTTCCAACTATTTAAATAAATTGATGTTTCTATACATGTGAACTGTTAGATAAAGTCAGGTATGAAGTGTATATATGTATGTAACTTCTTTAATACAGCTATTTAATGTTACAATTTTATTGTAAAATGTCACTGAAGTGGAGTGTTTGTAGGTACTGAAAATGTAGATGGCCTGGTTGTATCTTCAGTTTTTCTAGTTTTAGGGAAGTTGGGAAATGTGATGATCATTAATAAAGTGCCATGTAAGGAATGTGACAGAAATTTTTCAGTTAAAATATGTGAAGAAATTTGTATCAAATATTAATTTATATACTAACATCAACATGAATTTCCATCTCCACTTTTATGTTATTTGCTGTTTAGCTTTATATGTTGTTTCAGCATTAACATGACACAATTTTATGGGAGTTTTAAAGTGAGACTACTTTTAATAAAGGTACACAAAGCTTACAAGGGTGACTGTAGAAAATCCTGTGAATATCTTGTCAGAATGTACACCAGAATGATATTACCCATCACACTACTCTGACATTGAATGTTGGGCGTTATGTGGGCTTAATGAGACTGGCAGTTGAACTGTCTGCAGCAATTAAAGTGTAATTAATGAGTGTGGACTTAACATACACAGGTAAGATTATTCATCTGAGGTTTACTCTTGTAGTTTTGTCATGGCGCATATGCTGTGGTTTCATGGAGATTTCTTTAATTTAAATATCTATTATCTTTTAATAGTCTTTCATTATTTGTAATCCTTGATAATCTCAGACATAAAGTGTTCACATTTTTATATACTATAGATGATCTGAAGAAATTTAATATTTTATAAACATCATTGTTTTTTTTTCTAAGTATCCTTAATACAAGGAGTGAGTAATTACATATCAGTTGTATGAACAAACTCCCCATACTAAGAAGAAGATAGATTTAATTCAGATCTTACTTTGTAACTTATAGGTTTAAGTCCCCCCCCCCTTCAACAATTGTGATGATATGAATTCTGCTAGAAACTGGAATTAGATGAAGGATGTAACTTACCATTTGTCTTTTTAAAGGAAGTAAATATGCGAATTTAAAGATTCATATTTTTTAATGTTCTTGTAGATTGGTTATACCAGGGGTTCTCAGGCCTTATGATATAACCCCTGAAAATAATACATAAAATTTTGTGACACCCTCATCCCTGATTGGCAGCATAAAATGCAGTTCTGTACATTGTTGCAGGTCTCTATCAGGCTGTACAATGACAGCAGGGATGTAAATAGCCAAAATCCCACTTTACACTTAGCTGTAACATCTTCCTGTACAGTCATGATAAAATTCACGTAATGTTTCATCAGCTGCAGCTGTGTCCTTTGAAAGCACCTGTACTGATTCTTTCTTACTTATTAACTTTCCAAAACTTTTTGTGAGTACAATTATATTTTAAATAATTTGTGAGAACTCAGAGACCCTGTTAAAACAAGCTGCAACTCCCTGCTGGGGTTGTGACCCACAGTCTGAGAACCCATGGGATGCATTGACAGTGTCTTCTTAATATGAGAAATTGAAATGCATGTAGTTTGTTGATGAAATAGTTGTGATATGATTTTCTAATAAAACTCATTCCCCTATGAGTTAAATTGCTCTCAGGAGATTTTAATATAAATGGTCAGTATGTTATATTCAGTGATACTTCATACATAAAAATTCACATAATCCATGTCTGTTTTTTAAGTCATTAAATTGTTACGGTAATGTTTGGGGCTGCTATATTGGGTATAACCACACAGCAGGAAATCCCACTTCAGAGAATGCAGTATGTGTTAAGTGGAAATTACCTCTGATATAATGTAGAATCATTTCACTTGATAAAATATTTCGGTTGTATTTGGAAGATTCCTGAATGTTTTCATTCCTTGAAGTCGGTTCTAGAATATTACTTTTAATAGGCTGTGGCCACTTCTTTCCACATCTACGTTCATAATTTTCACTTGTCATTTATATAAGCAGCAAATCAAGACAGACTAACTGTAATTCTCTGTAACTGTATATCTTGGTTACACTGACAAGGATAAAATATTTTTCTTCCTGATAGCATCGAGACCGGCTCTGGGGCTTACCCAGCCTCCTATCCAATAGTTACTGGGAGCTCTTTCCCCGGTAATATAGTGGTGAGAGTATGAAATTGACCACTCACCCCCATCTAGTGCTGAGGTTAAGAATAGCAGAGCTATACCTCAACTCCCTCATGTCTTCATGGCATGGTGCTTCATTTATTAAGCAGAGGGGCAGCTTTCATATACTCATGACACATGAGTGTAATAGATGGTATTGTCTGCAGTGATTTTTTATAAAAGTAGCATAACCCAAAATTGGGTAGGTTATTGGAGTTGTGTGCTTGAGTGGAGAATGTTGGACCTTTACCAGATGGTTTTGTATGTGTAATACATACATAGGTAATGACTGTGACTTGTATTCTTTTAGATCAAATATGTAGTGATGATAATGTTTTACTAACTGATGTATCTAACATATGGGCATTGCATGTTTATTTAATTCATTTTAATGTATACAGTGTGAAAATATATGATTGAAAATGGGATTGGATTTATTATAATGAATTACTTATTATTTATGTTCTGAGTGTTACCTTCCAGTTATTGTAATCACAGGCAGCAGTGCCAGAACATGTCCATCTGTCAGTCTGCTCTATTATGCCCCATCCCTATGAATACACTGCTCCTTTTATTACAATATCTGACTTTTGCCAACACTTACTGGAACACTGGCACCATCAGAACTTGAAAACATTAGTGAACATGAAGTAATTGATAATCCATTACCAACCAAGGAGCTGGTGAGATTTGGGATGACCAAAACAGTGATGGAGGATGAAGGCCATCTTGAGTTCTGTGGAGACGCTCCATGGTGACCTAACTTTACAGAGTTCATGATGATGAGGAGGATGATGACAACAGAGATAAAGATGATGATTATGTGTAGGTTTGAAGAGCCTGAATCTTACGAGGTAAACACACATAACTGAACCTTACAGGTATGTAACTTCTGATTGCAGTCGTAAATAACTAGTGCCATGCAGTTACAGAGGAATCTGATTCCTCCATCTTCAAGGTAGAAGAAGTAGGCTTTATCCTAAAGACTGAAGCAGCAGGTTCATCTACTAAACTACAGGTCCAGTGATTGAGACTAGCTCTTTCTAAGGGGCCCAACTGAGTAGGTTAAACCTTCCTTATAC